ATGTGTATAAGAGACAGCCCTTGGTGGGGGATGCGGGGGGGGCCGGTCCTCCTCGGCCGAGACCGGGGGGCATCGCCGCTTGGGCGATTAGCAGCACGATGCGGGCAACCCTGCTCTGCACCCTCCTGTGCCCGCCGGGCGCTGGGGAGATGCTCTGCCCAGGAGCTGTCAACCTGAGGGGAGAGAGAACAGGGTGGGGGGGTTAACCAGGTCCATCCCAAACCACCCGACACTCTCACGCCACCGTGCATGAGCCACAGGGTAGGGTGCCTGTGTCCCCAAGCTCACCTAGCGCCAGGCGCCTGCCCCGCGGTGTCCCATGCTCTGCATCTCGATGGTGTCGGGCACAGCGGTGCCACCGGTGCTGGGCACGCTGGGCTCCTCCAGGCAGTCCCGCTCGGCACCGCCAGTGAAGCCCTCGGTGCTGAAGTTGGGGTAGGAGCCAGGCAGCGTGGGGTGCAGGGCCACTGTCACCGAAGCGGTGGCCGTGACGGTGGTGTAGCTGCCAGCAGGACCCTGCAGGTGGGTGCTGTAGGTGGGCAGGGCTGTAGGGGGGGCTGGCCGGGTGCCCGGCGGGCAGGGCTGTGGGTAGTCTCGGGGTGGTGTGGGGCACTGCTCCCCGAAGGGCAGGGGCGGTGCGGGCTGAGGGCTGGGAGCCTCCTTCTTCCCCCGGACCTCTGGGCTGTCCTTGTAGGGCTTCAGCACCTGGAGGGGGGACATGGAGCATGAGGGCCCCCAGCCATGCCGAGCAACCCTTTGGTAACCCCACCAGCACCACAGGGGACCCATGAGCCCCTGTCCCCCAGCTCCACCCATGACCCTCTCCCAGGGGATGCTGGGGAGCCAGTGACGCTGCAGTGGGCAGAGACACTCACAGTGATGCGAGGGAAGCTGGGGTCCTTGCCGGCCTCCAGTAGGATGTGTGCCGGGGCAGGGGGCATGATGAAGGGTCCCCGGGGGCTCCCTGGCCCCACACCCTCTGCATAATGCTCTGTGTCCGAGGGATCAGGGAAGGCGGCGGGCCAGGCTGGGGCACGGCGGACGTACAGACCCCCGGGGCCCAGGCATGGGGGCAACGGATCCGGTGCAGGCAGGTGGGGGCTGTTATCCACTGGGGATGCCTGGGGAGAGAGGGGACAACGTCAGAGGGACCAGGGACATACAGGGATAGAGGACTGTGGGGTGGCAGGGAGTATGGGGTGATGTGAGGATGGGGTAAGGGCTGTATGGGGTGAGGGAGATACAGGATGAAATGGGTCAGAGAGGGATGTGGGGAGTCGAGTGTGGGGTGAGGCAGGAATGGGGTCAAGCAGGCATGGGGCAAGTTGGATATGGGGCAGAGAAAGGATGGGGTAAAGCAGAGATGGTACAGGGTGACGGATGGGGTGAGGTGGGTACGAGGCGAGGTTGGGACTGGACAAAGCAAGGACGGGTATAGGGTGAAGGGGTGACAGGGTGAGGGGCAATAGGGCATGAAGAGAGATGGGTACGGGGCTGGAGAGGGACAGAGAGAGGTGGGATGGGGTCTTGTACCTCAGGAGGTGGCCCGATGACCGAGAGCAGGACTGGGAGCAGCACCAGCCCATTGAGCAGCCCCAGCAGCGTCAGGATGGTAAGCACCGCAAAGAAGTACCTGGGGGCCACAGGCAGAGGGGGTAAGTGGGCACAGCTGCCATGAACCCCGTCCCACCCCAAACACAGCTTCCCACACCACACACCCCGGACTCCCCATGTCACAGCCTCTGTGCAAGACAAGGTGGGTGCCCCCAGCAAGACATGTCCTTGCCAGCTGCCCCCACATCCCCACTGCCAGACAGGGGGTCTTCCACGCTCACCAGCCTCCACTGACAAAGCTTTTGGCAAGCAGCAAGCAGCTGGTTTACCCAACTCTGGCGCGTACCTCATGATGAAGTCAAACTCGGAGCCAGCCAACATGAGGACGCCCAGGAGGGTGGAAACAGCACCGTCCATCACGGGGGCAAAGGTGTGCTCCAGTGCTGCGGCCGAGCGCACGTTCCTGCTCCCCACAGCCGTCAGGAAGCCCTGCATGGGATGGGGATGTCATGTGGGGCTTGTCTCCCTGTGCCACCCATGACATGGCCACCCACTAGCACATGGCCAAGGGGGTGAGGGTGCCTGGGAGTGGGAATTGGGGTGTTCTGTGGCTGGGCAGGGGTATGCCTGTGCTCACCAGGGCCACGTGGACGGTGAACTCCACACCAATGCCCACCGAAGCGATGAGGATGACCACAGGGATGGCGCTCAGCTTGATGCCCATCAGCCCCATGATGCCAAACAGCTCCACTGCCATCATGGCCAGGATGGAGACCTGGGGGTGTGGTGGGGTCAGCGAGGGGTGGCTCTGACTGGCTGTCCCCTCTGTCCTTCCGCC